CTTTTCTCCGGATATGTTATTATTATTATTTTTGGCCGCACCTCGCAGAACACAGGATCTTAGTTCCCCCACCAAGGACCAGGGATCAAACCCATGCCCCCTGCAGTGGAAGTGAGGAGTCTTAACCACTGGACCACCAGGGAATTCCCCCGGATATATTATTCTTTATGATGCTATTATAAATGGAAATGTTGTCTTAATTTCATTTTCAGAGTTTCATTGCTAGTATAGAGAAATTCAACTGATTTTTATATTGACCTTGTATCCTGTAACTCTGCTGGATCTGTTTAGCAGCTCCAAAGGTTTGTATGTGAATTCTTGAAGGTTTTCTAGATAGCAATCATGTCATCTGCAAACAGACAGTTTTGCTTCTTCCTTTTCAATGCCTTTTTTTCTTTCTCTTGCCCAGCTGCCCTAGCGAGAACTTCCAATAAAATGTCAATAGAAATGGTGAGAGTGGGCATCCTTTCCTGTTCCTGATCTTGGGGGGCAAGCACCTAGTCTTTTACCATTAAGTACGATGGTAGCTGTGGGTTTTCAAAGATACCCTTTATCAGGTTGAGAAAGTTCCCTTCTATTCCTAGTTTGTTGAGTGTTTTTTTTTTAATCATGAGTGGGTTTGAATTTTGTCAAACACTTTTTCTGCATCCACTGAGATGATTTTGTGGTTTTCCCCCTTTATTCCACAACATGGTGTATTACTTTAATTTTCGTATTACATGTCAATCCCAAACTCCCAGTCTATCTATCCCTCCCACCCTTCCCCCCTGGTAACGTAGGTTTGTTTTCTAAGTCTGTGAGTTTGTTTCTGTTTTGTAGTAAGTTCATCTGTATCATTTTTTAAGATTCCACATATAAGCGACACCATATATTTGTCTTTCTCTGACTTACTTCACTAAGTATAATAACCTCCAGGTCCAACCATGTTGCTGCAAACTGCATTATTTCACTCTTTTTAATGGCTGAGTAACATGCAATTGTACACACGTACCACATCTTCTTTACCCACTCATCTGTTGAAGGACACCTAGGTTGCCTCCATGTCTCAGCAACTATAAACAGCACTGCAATGAACACTGGGGTGCATGTATCCTTTCGAACCATGCTTTTCTCCGGATATGTTATTATTATTATTTTTGGCCGCACCTCGCAGAACACAGGATCTTAGTTCCCCCACCAAGGACCAGGGATCAAACCCATGCCCCCTGCAGTGGAAGTGAGGAGTCTTAACCACTGGACCACCAGGGAATTCCCCCGGATATATTATTCTTTATGATGCTATTATAAATGGAAATGTTGTCTTAATTTCATTTTCAGAGTTTCATTGCTAGTATAGAGAAATTCAACTGATTTTTATATTGACCTTGTATCCTGTAACTCTGCTGGATCTGTTTAGCAGCTCCAAAGGTTTGTATGTGAATTCTTGAAGGTTTTCTAGATAGCAATCATGTCATCTGCAAACAGACAGTTTTGCTTCTTCCTTTTCAATGCCTTTTTTTCTTTCTCTTGCCCAGCTGCCCTAGCGAGAACTTCCAATAAAATGTCAATAGAAATGGTGAGAGTGGGCATCCTTTCCTGTTCCTGATCTTGGGGGGCAAGCACCTAGTCTTTTACCATTAAGTACGATGGTAGCTGTGGGTTTTCAAAGATACCCTTTATCAGGTTGAGAAAGTTCCCTTCTATTCCTAGTTTGTTGAGTGTTTTTTTTTTAATCATGAGTGGGTTTGAATTTTGTCAAACACTTTTTCTGCATCCACTGAGATGATTTTGTGGTTTTCCCCCTTTATTCCACAACATGGTGTATTACTTTAATTTTCGTATGTTGAACCAACTTTGCATTCCTGGGATAAATCCAACTTGGTCATGGTGCACAATTCCTTTTATTTGCTGCTGGATTCTGTTTGTCCGTATATTTTATTGAGGATTTTTGCATAAGAAATATTGGTCTGTAGTTTTCTTGTGATGTCTTTTTCTGGCTTTGTTATCAGGGTAATACTGGACTCACAAAATGAATTAGGAAATGTTCTCTATTCTATTTTTGGAAGAGTTTGAGGAAGACTGCTGTTAATTCTTCTTTTAAACGTTTGGTAGAACTTACCAGTGAAGCCATCAGGCCCTGGGCTTTTCTTTGTTGAAAGTTTTTTGATCACTAATTCTGTTTCTTCAGTTGCTATACATCTACTCAGATTTTCCTTCTTTCTTTTTTTAAAAATATATATGTATTTTTTGATGTGGACCATTTTTAAAGTCTTTATTGAATTTTTTGGTTACAATATTGCTTCTGTTTTATGTTTTGTTTTTTTGGTGGCAAGGCATATGGGATCTTAGCTCCCTGATCAGGGGTCAAAACCATACCCCCTGCGCTGGAAGGTGAAGTCTTTAGCCACTGGACCACCAGGGAAATCCCAGATTTTCTTTCTTCTTGAGTTAATTTTTTAAAAATTAATTAATTAATATTTTTGGCTGTATTGGGTCTTCGTTGCTGCGCACGTGCTTTCTCTAGTTGCGGCAAGTGGGGGCTACTCTTCGTTGTGGTGCGCCGGTTTCTCATTTCAGTGGCTTCTCTTGTTGCAGAGCACGGGCTCTAGGCACGTGAGCTTCAGTAGTTGCGGCGCATGGGCTCAGTAGTTGTGGTGCATGGGCTCAGTAGTTGTGGCGCATGGGCTTAGTTGCTCCACAGCACATGGGATCTTCTGGACCAGGGCTCGAACCCGTGTCCCCTGCATTGGCATGCGGATTCTTAACCACTGTGCCACCAGGCAGGTCCTTGAGTTAATTTTTATAGTTTGTGTATTTTGAGGTATTTGTCAAATTCATCTACGTTAAACAATTTGTTGGTATACTGTTCACAGTATTCCCTTTTAATCCCTTTCATTTCTATAAGGTCATTAGTAATGTCCTCTCCTTTATTCCTGATTCTAGTAATTTTAGTCTCCTCTTTTTTTTTTCCTTTGTCAATCTAGGTAAAGATCTGTAGATTTGCTGATCTTTTCAAAGTACAAACTTCTGGTGTCACTGATACTCTACTGATTCTTCTATCTCCTTTATTTCTGCTCTGACCTTTATTACTTCCTTCCTCTGACTGCTTTAGGCTTCGTCTGCTCTTCTTTTTCTACTTTCTTCAGGTTGACGGTTAGATCATTGGTTTGAGATTTTTCTTCTTCTTCTTCTTTTTTTTTTTAATCTTTTGGCCACAGCGCACAGCATGTGGGGTCTTAGTACCCCGGCCAGGGATCAAACCCACACCCCCTGCACTGGAAGAGC